CAGTGTGTATGTGTGTTCGTCTGTCTTTCAACTCACCAACCACGCAAGCTTTTAAGCTGAAATTTTACCGTGTATTCCCCTGCCAAGTGCCACCCCAGGACCGCGGTACCAACTCTTATACGCGTTTGGGTCCCGCCTACAACCACGTGAAAATTTTAGAAGGAAAATTGCTAACTCAGAAAGGAAAAAAGCTAGAAAGCTCAACTTTATGGGGACGTTTCTTACCCATGTATGAGAAAAAGTTTTCAAATTCAGCTGCCTAGGACTGTCGGGGACTTGCGTACAGGCACGTGAAAACTGATAACTCGGGACTGAGAAAAGCTAGAAAATTGAGACTTTAGAACAATGTTCCCTACTCACGTATGACCAAAAGCTTCCAAACATAGCTCCTTGGAACCGCCCGGGCCTCACGTGCGGGCACGTGAAAATTTCGGCGGGAAAATTGCTATCTCGGAAACGAAAAAGGCTAGAAAGCTGAAACTTTATGAGAATATTTCCTGCTCATGTACGACCAAAATCAGTTGTTTAGGAGCCCTCGGGATCCACATACGGACACGTGAAAGTATTGGCGGAAACCTACTAACTCGGGAAGAAAGTCAGAAAGCTAAAACTTTAGGGGAATGTTCGTTATTCATGTACAGCCAAAATCAGCTGTTTAGATGCGCTGGGATCCACGTACGGAGAAGTGGAAATTTACTAACTCGGGAACAAGAAAAGCTAGAAAGCTGTAACTTTAGGGTAATGTTCAATTCTCATGTACGACCAAAAGATTTTAAATTCGGCTCCTTACAACCGTCTGGAACTGATGCACAGACACGTGAAAACTGCTAACTCGGGAACGAGAAAAGCTGGAAGCCAAGGGAATATTCCCTACTCATGTTCGACTAAAAGATTTCAAATTTAATTCTTCTAGTGGAATCTTTTTATCGCGGGTCAGCAATTTTCCATTTGTCGGGTCACTGAAGTCGACATCTATAATTGACATGCCACACAGCTGCACAATTAAATTCCCGAACTTTGAGGTCCAGTATGTCCAGGGCAAGCTATTGTGATTCCTTGCGATATTGCTACGGCACGAAAAGTGGAAAAAAGCATGAATGTACTGGTTCGCCTGGTGCGTTCTAGCCTGGGTTTTGGATAAGAAGATAAGTTAGATTTAGCGATAGAATAAATCATGTAAGAAATTTTGGAGCTTGCTTCAGTCCAACAAATCCAGGGAGCATCGCGATTCCCAGAGCTTATGAAATGAACTCGTAGTGTGGTCAGCGTGGCAAATTTATACAAAACTCATCCGATTTCGCCCATCAGACGCCAGTGCCCCCTTTATTTGTTACGCCGAAAGACAGCACTCAGAACAAAACATGTTGCCATTGGTACCATCTTCCAGAAATGCATGAATTGCAAGCTGAGGCGTTTTGGATTTTCAGAAAGATTGGCACTTTCGTACTAATTTGTCACTGAAAAGAAGCAGTGAACTGCAAAAAATTAGCTTGTCTCGTACAGGATTCGAAAGACGTTTTTTCAGGCGTATCGTAGCACAGCAGTAATAGAGACATTAATTATTACATACATAATAAATTTATAAAATTATATTAAAAAATTGGATAAACAGGAGTGTTTCGGCCATAAAGCCATAGACATTCCAATTCAGCATCACAGTGACCAG